GGAGCAATTAAATAATGGACACAAAATAATATAGCATTATATGGCAATCGGATGAGTTGAGTCACATTAGGCTTCTATTTAATAGTATTTTATTAGTGAATTGCATGAAATAGCAATCATAGAGTAAAAGGTATTTAAAGCTATCATTACTTGATTTCTATGATTTCTTAGGGATGAGCGACCACTCAAGCGATTCATTCAATGAAAAGTTAATTTTGCGTAACAAACGAAATGATGAGATTAGATGTGATGAGAGGAGAGGCGCTAATTAGTAATACACATGTTATTCATTCAAATACTCTATTTTATCATTAATTATTATTTACTCTAAATATCACTACTCTTTGCTATCATTTTTTATTAAGTACGCAAAATTGCAAAATTCAAATCAAATTGTAAACTTAAATAGTAAAACAATTGACTCAGAAAATTAGACATTCATTTATTAATTTAAAATTCAATTAAATGTCACTTTTAATTTGATATAAACACGTGACACCCGTTAAGCTTATCTCATGTCAAGTCAAATGGTTTAATACAGTATATGGTATCTACTAAGTGACTAAATGTATGTTTTTAAGTTAAAATCACGGAATCATAAAATAAAATAATAATAATTTTATCAGTCATTTAACTATGATATTAAAAAGAGAAAACATGAGATTACAAATGGTTAGAGTGGAGCCACTCCTAAAACTTTGCATAATTGCTACTTATAATAGTCACAAATGTGATCGTTTAGCCGATACCTCCCAAGTAAATGAAGTAAATACTTAGTTCTCGGCTCAGGTATTGCACACTATTTTCCCCTAAATATCTAATGCCTTCCTCTTTAATGAATTGCTTACTTTGATATTATATTTAACATTCATTTCCTATGGCATTGGCAACGGTCTGTGTTATGTAATGAATGTTGAAATCAATAAACTAATGATTGAGATATGAAATGATGGATAAACAGGTCGACAATCTCTCTCTCTCTCTCTCTCTCTCTCTCTCTCTCTCTCTCTCTCWCACACACACACACACACACACACATACACACATACACAGACAGTAATAGCCGCTTATAATAAGCAAAACCACTACAAAAACTCAATAGTGACTGTGTGTGGGCCACAGTGTTGTATATGTGATGTAAAGGGGAATTACTATAGCACTTGTAGTTATGATATAATAATTGTGATATTAAGCAACACAATCACGCAACTCATCCTCTAAGCCCTCAGCTATAACAGTGCGACACTCTCTCGTAGGTCTTTATATCAAAATATTTTATTATCAAAAAAGACAACTTTCTCATCATTTTATCGTTAACTAAAACTCATGGTTTACTTGTCTTTATTTCTCAATGGTTTTGTATTTGGTTGTATACATGATTTTATGTAATCTTTTTTATATTATATAATCAATGTTATGAATTTATTTAACTAACATATATGTATGAATCTATTTAATTATATAACACCTTTTAAAAATTAATATCAAAATTCACTTAATTCGTGATTTAATTAATTAAATTATTATATAGTATACATGTTTATTCATTGCTAATACAATATATATTTTAAAGATAAGATTAATAGAATTAAGTCAAAAGATTATGCCATAACTTGTCTGCAAATAATATTTGTTTACTAATCTTAATTAAGATAAAGTCATTATATGTTTGAGATATAAATCCGAGAAAAAAATTGAATAAATTTATATATTTAAAGAATACTATCAGTGCTTAGGCTTGACATTCAAAAGGTCTGACAAATGAGTCTCAAGAATATAGTACTACTTAATTGACCGCTTCCTCCGGTAATTACATGATATAACAAAGCCTTTGAAAGCCAATTATCGTTCATTTTGTACACACTATTAGTTTTGTTTTGCAGTTATAAAGTATTATATTAAACTATACTAAACTATAACATAAAACTTAACACTAGTTTATAACACAATAACAATATTAGATCATTATTGTTTAATTTATATACAAACATTAAATAACTTTAAATTGTTGAATATATTGTAGCATAAAATTTTGTAGTATAAAATTTGTATTGTATATCTAAATGTCTAATCTATTTATTAAAATAATTGGTCAAATAATAATATTTAAACTCATATACTAATTATACTAAAATAAATATAATTTTAAAAATACTTATTATATATACTTATTTATTTATAAATACTGTATAATTGGACTGTTGTAAAAATTATGTATAATATTATAATTGAAATATGAAATGTTTAGAATAAAATACAAATTGCAATTTTATTATATTAAATATGATATAATAAAATAAAACATAAAAATATATTTAATTATTTATATATATATATATATTAATTTAATAATTATTGTTAATCTAAAATATAACATTATTTTTATTAAGTTGTTGTTATCAATGAAGTCATAACCCAAGAAATACATATTAATTCAATGATTGTTTCTTTTAAAAACTAGTATTTTTTCTTTTCTTACAACAAATTAAATTAAAAATTTATTTTTAATCAGATTGTAAATCAACGGGTTATATAACCAGAGGTAACACTTTTCAGAAGCTGTTGATGTTTCAATAAAATAAACATTTTTTTAATAAAACATTTTTTCTTGATTTTTAAAAGATAAATATAATTATTCAATAATTATTAAAATATAACTAAATATCAAATGTTTTATAATATATTTTTTTTCAATTAATTTAGTTTTTTTTTAATACGAATTACGACATAAAACAACATATTTCATGAAAATAATTATGAAATGTAATATATTAAATATTTTATTGTTAATAATAATATATTATTTTATTAATAATTAACTTTCAATTTAAAAACAATAAATATGAAAAAATGCCAACAATACAAATATTAAAAATAATAAATTAATTTTAGTTTTTAACGCATTGGGCAAAACATGCATTACTGCCTATTTATCTCTCTATTTATCTTTTTTCTCTTTCGATATTATGTAGTAAAACGTTGGACACAGAAAAATAGTTATTTCGAGTGAACTCAATATATGTAGACAAACATAGAAAGAGAGAGAGAGAGAGAGAAAAAAAAGAAATAAATTTTTATTGTTATCCATAATGATGTTCAGTGAGAATAGGATAGCAATATGTGTCAAATTGCGTGCAAACCTTAATAAATCAAAATCTTGTGTAAAGAAAGTTTTTTCTCAAAAAAGTGATGGTTTGCTATCCAAAAGGGAATTATATATATATATATATATTCAATATAAAGATAATATTTTTGAGCTACTTTTGAATTCATTGACAAATTCTATTGATATTTGCTATCAATTTATGTGAGAATATACAGTATATTTGCTTGATATAAAAATTTGTACAAAAATTATAATATAAAGCAACAATTGATAGCAACTTTGAGAGTAATAAAACATTCAAAAATATAAAGTAAATCATTTTTAAAATCTATTTTTCATAAAACATTCTTTGAGACCACAATAAAATTGTTTAAAAAAATACCATAAAAATATAATATTTTGATTTTTTAATTGCTATATTTTGCTAACCGACCGACAAGTTTTTTGGGTTAGAATTTTAATTTTATTACTATTTTGTGGTATTTTTGATGTAAAAATTATTTTTGTCTGTATATAAACAGTAAACTTATTTAATGTTTTATAGCATTAAAACTTTTATGATATCTAATTTAAAACAGTGATAATAAAGTGGTTATATTTTTATATTGCACATATACATATATTTATTAATATCATACATTAAAATATATATGCAATAAAGTTATAAAATATTGTTTTATTTGGCATAATCTCAGGTAACATAAGACATAGTATTACATGGAAATGGGTTGTGAAGACCGCCCGCATTCATAACTTTGTCTTATTTGTAGTGCGGTCTCTACACCTACAAGAAGGCCAACCAAAGTGTATTGCAATCATAGTTATTAATGCTGTCATTTAAAAGTTGATATTTTACTTAAAGCAAGTCTTTTAGTATCAATTGACAGGAATTATCTAATAGACTATCAGTATATGGGATGTCATGTCCGTGATATGCCTGCGGCTCTTCCCATGCTTTCAATGAATATGTCTCCAAAAAAAAGTAAGAGTCACTAAACTTAATGTTAGACTATGAAAATGTTTTGTGATATCACTTATATTTTGAAAATGCAATCGTTATAAGCATTTAAAGAGCAATAATACTAGAAATATGTGTGTGATTACTGGCATAGCAGTGTCTGTAAGTCTGTCTACCAACTAGTTTGCCATAACTACTACAACTTTTAGTAACTAAACGTCAGCACAGGTAGATTGCATCCGGACAGTCAACACAGCCAACAACACTGGTGGTCCATATATAATAGCGCTCACTGTTATGGCACTCAGTTTGACCACTAAATTACTTGCATTATTCAGTGCAAACATATGAATGCCATTCAAATACAATTCAACACATTGTTATATGTGTTGTGTGGCCAACAATTTAATGTCACATCCCTTTCAATAAAAATTCATTTATATTGAACTTCTCTAAAAGTCATACAAATTGTCTAAATATTTGCAAAACTACAGCCAATTCTGTGCCATTGTAATCAACAGAGACGACTATAACTGTTTGCCAAACAGGAGAAACTCAAACACACATCACCACTGATTATCTCATAATATATGGCTTTTTTAGTCTAATTTGCTGTTAAAATATACTTTTCACACAATTTTCTTATAACTTAAATATAATAGAATAATAATATATGGGATAAATAATATTTAGAAAGATATAAATTGTTTTCTTTTATACAACAATTGAAAATGACTTAATATAATATATAAATATAAGCATATGTTTGGCATTTTACTGCAGCATATGATATGATACATAGTGTGAGTGAGTCTCTCACAGTTTGTTAAATAAAAATATGTTTTTACAAATCACTGAAAGCATTGAAAGTAATTCATTACGACTGGTATTAAATGAAATATTATTTTTATTATGATTTTAGAAACTATAACTTACCGGAAGAGGGTCTGTCCGAATAGCGGGTGCAGTAGACCCAAGCCGGCCAATTGACGGCATCCTTATCGTCCTTTTTATCGACATTTTTTGGAGGAGAGCTCTCTTTTTTAGTATTATTATTATTATTATACTTATTATTATTATAAAATGAGTTTAAATTATTGAGAGTATCTTTGGATGTCGTACTCAAAGAGCTTATATTAGATGATTCAGAATCTGAAGAGTGTTTTCTCTTAACACTCTTATTGATCAGTGATGTGACGTCTAATGGATGGATACGATTGTTTGACAAGTTTTGTGGTACAGATGGTGATGACTGTGATCTGACACTTGACTCGTGTTTGTCGATCCCATTTGTAGTGATAATAGTTTTTTGAAAGTCACCGTCACTTTTGCCGAATTCTGGCGACAGAATATTATCGATGGAAAACTTGAGTGACTGTACGGCCGAACTGACCATTCTTGGCATCATTTGGTTCATCAAGTGATGTGATGACCCAAAAGACTGACCAATACTTTCAAAAATAGACAACTCTATGACTGAAATCTTAATTTTGTGAACAAACTTTTCACTTCAGATATTAGCTCCAGTAATGCATTAAATACATAGACATACAAACACATCACAATATAGACATCTTCAATGTCTTATTTCGGGCGGACTGACAGCTGTGACGCCACCCTTTCAGAGCTACAGTGCCAACCATTAGACCATATGTGTGCTAAACACCAATGCATGAGAAACAACAATTACTTATGCGTACAACTGGGAGGTGCTTAACCTTATTAATACATCAGACCAGCACTGTATGGGCGGACACTACAACCGTGCTTTCCCCCAACTGTTTCATACAAATCCACCCGAAACATGAATTGCATCAGTACTTACACCAAACTGTCAAACAACACACACACACACACACACACACACACACACACATACATACATACATAAATATACACACAAACAACACACACACACACATACATACATACATACATACATACATACATACATACATACATACATACATACATACATACATACATACATACATACATACATACATACATACATACATACATACATACATACATACATACATACATACATACATACATACATACATACATACATACATACATACATACATACATACATACATACATACATACATACATACATACATACATACATACATACATACATACATACATACATACATACATACATACATACATACATACATACATACATACATACATACATACATACATACATACATACATACATACATACATACATACATACATACATACATACATACATACATACATACATACATACATACATACATACATACATACATACATACATACATACATACATACATACATACATACATACATACATACATACATACATACATACATACATACATACATACATACATACATACATACATACATACATACATACATACATACATACATATATATACACACACACACACACATACATGCACACACACACAAACATATATACAGTACATACACTGTGTATGTATTTTTTCACCCAAGGCTCTCCAAAGGGCCTGCGGGTGTGGGACTGTACTGTGATAGCGCTAAACGATCTCTTGACCCGATGCACGCCTATCGCACACCAGAGCAGATGCCACACACGTTGTTTCGATGTGTGCGGCCAACAGTATATCCATAGTAAAGATATACAACAAGCTATGGATGCGCTTTATGTCAATGTTCATTGCAGAGAAACCCTGAAGCTCTCTATCTCCCAGTGCTGGTTGCGCTGAAAGAGAGCACCCGGTTTTTAATCTATTTGGCGATGCGATGGGAGACAATTGGGAGAAACATTGGGAGTTGTTTTTAAGATACATTATAAACTCAGTCTATACTCTCTCTCTCTCTCTCTCTCTCTCTCAAGTCTACCGAATTTTTGTTGTTGTTGTCTATTCTCTCCCTATCCTTTCATTTTCTGTGTTAACAAATTATTAAAATATCTAACATTGAAATCACTAAATACTGACTTTAAACAACACAGAAATCGAGTTAAACACAAAAAACATCACAAAAAATGGTATAATGATTATTAAACTCAAAATTATTTTTTTGCCTCAAAACACGCATCATTACATTAGAGACATCATTACAGGCAGTTATATCTGAGGCATGAAATGCAAATATTTTTAATATTTTATTTTCTCTTAAAAACAATTGTTATGTAGTTTTTCAAATATATAATAACTATGTTATAATTAAAATATATATATATATATATAATTTCATTTTCAATTTATGTGTACAATATTTTTCATTTTATGTAATCTCTATTTGCATACCAATAGACTCAAAAAAATGTTTTGAATATTTATAATAATAGTCAGGAGACTAATGATCATTGAAATCAAATGCTTTGTATAATAAATGTAAACCCAGTTTTGAAAGTAAATATTGTGTGTTTATGAGTGACTTATTTTATGTTACATTTTTGCTGATTTTATTCCCTATCATGTTATGATTGAATTTTTTTTGTTAAAATGTAATACTTTTTATATTACATTTTTAAAATGTTTTTGATGGGAGAGAGCACATGTGCGGACACATTATTAGGTGAAAGTATATATATATATATATATATATATAATATTTTTCACATTTACTTTTGGCACATTGTATAAAGGCTAGATAAACTTGTATATAGTGTATATATCATATGTATATTATACAGTATATATATATATATATATATACAGTATATGGTATTGTATAATGTAGTATATGCTGCAATATATATTTACTTATATGTTTTTATACACACCTTACACATGGATTGCCTCAATTCAGCACTTATCAAATTCAATTATATATTACTTGTATGTATTTATATATAGATAGATAACTCCCTCACTCACAGCAAAAATAACTATTTTTCATTCAATTCGTGTGAATTCATACAGACATTGAACAGCAAAAAATTGAAATAATTTTCTTTATGTTTTTGACAGCTAAAGGAAATGTTTGGTCAATGAGAGAGAAAAAAAGGTAAGAGAGAGAGAGAGAGAGAGAGAGAGAGAGAGAGAGAATTACTAGCGATTGAGATGAGAATATTATAGCATTAATATAATAGTAGTTGATATGAAAATCAATGGTTTGGGAGCACTGGTTGGCAGATGTGGATACATATAAAACCTCATTAGACGATATATACTGTATTCAGCTTTACTACCAAAAAGACAGGTCACTCAAAGTGTTGAACCATTTAAATGGTTTACTTAAATATATCAGTTTGTATTATATGATATGTATTTTGATTTGTAAGCACTATTCTATTGAAGACAACGTTTTTATTCATAAGTTTGTTATAATAGATATATACAATATCTTCAACTTGAATGCAAATTGTATGCAAAGCACCCAAAACTATATAATAAACGATACGTTATGTTACCAGAGTTTTCAAAGATATCTATTTCACAACTGTTGGGCGCTATTCAGGTCTGAGCTCCAAATAATAGCTGTCCTTTAGTAAAGTTGATACCTCTTCCTATTGTTAAACTTTTTGATCTCTTTTCTATAGTTAAAACATTTATTTTGACGCTTCTCTTTATTAGTAGAGACACATACATACATACATACATACATATACTGTATATACAGTATTATACACATAAATAGCAGTGATCATAGAGAGCACAGGCAGATGGTCGGCAATTCAATGTTCCCAACGCTATGTTTTGAAAACTTTTACAAAGTCTGGTCTCAATTTTCGTGCAAAAGTTGTGTTCATATTATTATTATCAATATATCTCTTCTATTTTCTCTTTACTTAAAAACTTATAAATTTTATGAGAAGAATATATCTATAGATATGTGAACACAAAATAAGCTATTTTTGTAATACAGTATACTGTATGTTGTTATATAGCATAAGCTCTTTGGCCATAACTATTAGCTCTGTCTGACTTTAAAACGAGAAGCAAATCTAAATGAGAGGCACCTAAACCTAAACCTAAACTTAAAACCTTATTTAAAATAAAATTACCAGCATTTGGTGCGCCGGCATTAGGATCACCCATATATGGTGGACCACCCTTGAGAGGAACTGATATTACAAAAGCAAATGTAAATTGTAATTATTAAATAATGCTTAAGAAAACATTGAATCGTCCGACAAGAATAAGATCTAAATTTTTCATTACCTATAATCACATTTCGTGAGCCATCTCTCTAATTGCTTTCAAATAACATTATATAAGTCTCCCAAATAACACCATTGGCTATACTAATAAGCCATTGGCTATAATAACAATAAATAAGTGTATATTAAGCAGCACTGGGAGCATATAAAACATATTAAATTTATTTGGAAGATATAGGCATTGATCATCTGCTCTCAGATTGTTTGTGCTGTTATTAAATAAGATATACCGTAATTATTTGGAAAGTGCATTAAAATTTTTTACAAACTTGCTTTTCAAATACTATCATAACTTAATATAACTTTGAAAATAGCTCTATATATATATTAGGGTTAAGCAAGGGGTAGGGGTATGGCGAAAATACCCCCTAAGATCGAGATTTTTGGATTTTTAGACCAAATCGGAAAAATTATTGCTTAAAAACGATGAGAAAAGTCTCCCACCTAAAATTTCAACGCCAAAATTTTTTAACTTTTAAAAAATATAATTTTAACTAAGATTTATTATTAACTAATTTGGTGTTTTAATAGATATTTAAATTGAAGTATTTACTAAAACTCAGTAAAATAGTTTAATTTAGGTTAAAATTAAGCTAAATATAACACTATTTTTAAGAAATTTATGAAATTAAAAACTTGATTTATTAAATTTAATAATGAATTATTTGTCCAATAAAGTAGTTATGTTATATGTAGAATATTATTTTAAGATAATTATAGTGATGATAATTATATCTATTCTATATAATAATTTTTTTATAAATAATTTTTATATTTTAAATGCTAAATTATTATTTATTTAAAAAATTTTAGTCAAAATGAAATAAATATTATCAATTCAAGAATTAGTTGAGTTTAAATATTTACAGAAAACATTATTACATTAATATTTATCTACATTATATGCAGATTTATATATAGCATTATTTTAATAAAAATGTATAACAGAAAACCTTAAAAATGATTTATTTGTTTAAAAAATTATAATGTTATAATTAGAATAATATTTTAAGATAATTAATATAATAATACTAAATTATTATTTAATATTTAATTATTTTTACTTGAATTTTAGTCAGATTTATTTTTATTAATTTAAGAAAATATTTCTAAAATTTAATGAATTTTTGGTAATTTTTTCTTGACCTCCCCTGAATTTAGAAAAATTGTCGTTTAAAAATGCAATAAAAAGATACACCCACTCTATACCCCCAAGATTTTCGCGATTGTTTCCATTTCATTACACCCTAAACCTCCCTAAAATCCAAAACCTTGCTTAACCATAATATTTTATATATAGATATGTTATATGT